TCGGGCTCCCTGCTCCGCGGGAAGCCTGCTTCTCCCTCTCCCACTCCCCCTGCTTGTGTTCCCTCTCTCGCTGTGTCTCTCTCTGTCGAATAAATAAATAAAATCTTTAAAAAAAAAAAAATTAAATTCTCTTCTGACTTACCCCTGAGAAATAGACACGAGGCCTCTAATATGCATTGTAGCAGCTGGACCAGCATGCATCATTCACAGGAATGTCAGAGCCGGACAACTCAGGCCCCTCGTCTGCTTAAAGAGCATCAGAATCCTCCAAGAGCAGGATGGCAGAAACTTCCTGAAGGAGGGAATGAGCTACATCCCCAGTCCCTTTCTTCTCATGTGGTTTATTTTTAGTCAGATGATCTCCGGCTCACCTCTACTAAGTAGAAAGAATGAAAACATATCATCACGGTAGAAAAGCAACAAAATGCAGATGGGGAAAAAGAAGAAAATCAAAGCAGTGTGCTTCCACAAGCCCAGAGCTGGTCTCTACCTTTCGTGCCCTGGACTGACCAGCAGCTACTGGGCATCCGTTGTGTGTGTCTTGAAAGGAAATCGAACTTGGTAGTTTTCCTGCAAGTTAAGAAGAGCATCCTGGCATATAAGGATATCATTTCGTAAGTTGGGCTTCCTAAAACTACAGACCTGACTCAGCTGCTTCTCCTTCCCAGCCAAAATTGTTCAGCTTCACATCCTGAAAAGCTGCCATGTCTCCTTTCAGACAGACTGGCTACTTGCTCGTTAGAAACTTTGATCAAATTTGACAAGCTACTCATTGACCCAGCACCGACCACAAGAACCACCTTCTGTTGGCTTCTTGGGGGAGCTGAGGCTGTCTGTACCACTAAGTCTGGGAATTTTCCCAGATGAGTGTAACTGACCAGTGAAGACAGTCGTGCTTTTTTATCTAGGAGTCGTCAAAGCTGACATTTAGAAGAGATGCCGGTGATCTTACCCTTCTCGACTTTTCAAACGGGAACCAGGCCCAGAGCAATTGAGCGTTCGAACACGGTCTAACAAGGGAAGAATTTTCTCTTATATCTCATGCATGATAGATTTGGGTTGAATTCTATGCTAGGTCGGGGCTCAGCAAACTGCTTCCTGTAGGCCAAATTCACCCAGCGTCTGTATTTGTAAATAAAGTTTTATTGGAACTCAGCCACGGCCATGTGTTTCTGTATTGTCCACGGCTGCTTTTGCACCTACAACAACACAACTGAGTCATTGCAACAGACACCGTCTGGCCTGCAAAGCCTAAAATATGTTCTCTGGCTCTTTACAGAAAAAAGTTGGCCAACAGCTGCTCTAGGTTAACGAGAGAAACGAAAACTGGGATAATACGTCCTTTTAACCTAATTTCCTTTTACCTAAACAGG